TAACTTTTAACTTAAACTTATACAAAATCAAGGGAAACTCTTTTTTTTACTCAAATTAAGAGAGACTCAAATCATTACTCAAATCTTTAATGGTAAGACTTTATCCTCTTTTAAAGCTCCAATGACCATCTTTACTCTCATTTAAATTTGAATTTTTGCACTCATTTAAATTTGGAATTTTTCTTCTTTGAATTTGAGTTTGTTCATTAGAGATCTTTATATCAAATTAAACTTTTTACTCAAATGTTAGCTTAAATTTGAGTAAACATTTGAGTATTGATTGAAGATGTTCTTATATATTTAATTTAATGTGTCCTTTTTTTTTTTTGGAAGCTGGTGGAGAGAGGATAGAGATGGGTGATGCATGATCTGACATTGAATTTTCAGCCCTTAATTGTCACCCTCTTAGCTACTCCATTGTTTGTATCTTCGACGTCCCCATATCATTATTGTACTCCACGTCCAGTCGATATACATTAAATCAACACAAAGAGCCTCCGGAGAGGGAAAGAGAGATGCTAAGAACACTAAGAAGAAATTTAGCACACACATGAAAAGTAGTTTTATTGATAACAAATTGCAGGCATATATAGCCTTTTACAAAGAGATAAAATTGAAATAACAACCCACGTTTTCAACATCCTAAAACATGGTAACAAACTAAGAGGAATTCGTCAAAACACTAACCACTATTTCCTAAAGAATAGGACTTATTAACAAACTGAAATAACTAAAAGATCGGATCTAACATTCCCTCCCTTAAACTGTATGCAAAATGCATTCAGTTTATATTAGGAACTTCACTCACGCCCGACAAACTACGAAGCTTCAAAAACACCTCAAACCTGAGCGGCTTTGTCATAATGTCAGCTACTTGGTTTTGAGTATTACAATGTCTTAAATCAACCACACTATCTCTTACCAATTCACGAAGAAAATGAAACCTAATGTCAATGTGCTTGCTTCTTCCGTGAAGAACAGGATTCTTGGAGAGTTTTATAGTTGAACTGTTATCACACAAAATTGTAGTAGATTTCTCGTGCATGTAACCAAGCTTTGTTAAAACTCTTCTTAACCAAACACACTGACAAGCACGTGAGGCAGCTGCAATGTATTTGGCTTCAGTGGTGGATAAGCTAACCACAGGCTATTTTTTGGATGACCACGACACCGGTCCAAAACTAAACATGAATACATACCCCATTGTACTCTTCGATCATCTAGATCTCTAGCAAAATCACTATCTGAGTAAGTTGTGAGTTGCTTATAGTCTCCTTTCTTGTAGAAAATCCCCAGATCAGTCGTTCCTTTCAAATATCTTAGCAACCTCTTCGCTGCCAACCAGTGTTGCTCTGTAGGACACGACATGAACCTACTAATAAAACTCACACCATACATCAAATCAGGTCTGGTTGCAGTTAAGTACATGAGATTGCCAACCACCTGCTTAAACAAACTTGCATCAACCTTAGCTTCCTTCTCATCCTTTGACAATCTGCAACCTGGAACTATGGGGTTCTTCACCGAATTGCTTTTGTCCATGCCAAATCTTTCTAAAATTCATGAGCATATTTTCTTTGACACACATAAATCCCATCAGAATTTTGTAGTACTTCAATCCCCATAAATATCTCATTTTTCCCAAGTCAGACATGTCAAATTCTAACATCATCGACTTCTTAAACTCTTCACACATGCTCTTGTCATTCCCAGTAAAAATTAAATCATCAACATAAAGACTGACAATTAAGGGCTTACCTCCTTCCTTCGACTTTGTGAATAGGGTGGGTTCATAATGGCATTTTTCAAAGCCCTCTTTAGCAAAATAGCCTTCAATTTTGCTGTACCAAGCTCGTGGAGCTTGTTTAAGGCCATACAACGCCTTATTCAGCTTATAAACCTTGTGTTCCTCGCCCTTTTTCTCATATCCCTGAGGCTATTGGACATACACTTCCTCACTAAGCTCACCATACAAAAATGCTCTCTTAACATCAAGCTGAAAAATACTCCAAATGTATGGTATCTAGTCTTGCAACTGGAGCATAAACTTATGTGTAATCAATCCCATATTGTTGTGCATATCCCTTTGCCACAATTCTAGCCTTGCACTTGTCTATCTCACCATTTTCATTGAGTTTTGTTTTAAAAACCCATTTAACTCCAATAGTCTTCACTCCTTTAGGTAGAATAGTCAGGTCCCATGTTTTATTACGTTCAATGGCCTCAATCTCTGCATTCATTGCATCTCTCCATTTCTTGCTCTTCACAGCTTCCTCGAAAGTAATGGGATTAGCTTCTGTGAGAACCGCCATGGCACTCAAATCTTCTCCGGTTTCATAATCTTGCATCCAACGTGGAACTCGTCTTGCCCTCCCTTAGAATTGGACCCGAGGAGTTCTCATCATGTGACTCACTGGAAGGTGAGCTAGTGCCACTTAAACCAACTCCATTTGTGCCATTTGAACCAGCTTCTTCATTTTCGTTAGCCTCTGCCCCAAATTCCCCTCCATTCTTGGCTTCATCTCCTTCTTCTTCACTATCACCCCACTCTAACACATCTGAAGCCATTTCTTCCCTGCTCATGTTCCAATCCCATCCCTCATTCTCCTTAAAAACAACATCCTTACTAACAATTATTTTCTTAGAAACCGGATCAAACAATCTATAAGCTTTTGACTCATCGTTTACTCCCAATAAAACACATTGAATGCTTTTGTCATCTAACTTGATTCTTTTTTGGTCTGGTACGTGCACATGAGCCAAGCACCCAAAAATCCTGAAATATTCTATTGTAGGCTTTATACCACTCCATGTTTCCTCTGGAGTTCTATTTTGCACGACTAAAGTAGGGCACTTGTTGAGGACTTGCACACACCATCTCACAGCTTCTGGCCAAAAAGCCTTTGGAACCTGCTTCTCAGTGAGCATACAACGTACCAAATTCATCATAGTCCTATTCTTCCTCTCAACAACTCCGTTTTGCTGAGGAGTATAGGCTGTGATTAATTGCCTGGTTACGCCATTTGCCTTGCAAAACTCCCCAAACTCATCTAAGGTAAACTCACCACCTCTATCAGTCCTCAAACATTTAAGGTAGGCACTTGCTTCCTTTTCAACATAAGCCTTATAACTTCTAAACATGGTAAAAGCCTCTGATTTTTCATGCAAGTAAATCCAAGTCTTACAACTAAAATCATCGATAAGACTCAAGAAATACCTCTTGTTGCTATTTGATGTAGGCTTTATAAGACCACATATATCGGCATGCACCAGCTCCAGCTTCTGTGACGCCCTCCAAAGACTTCTTTTTGGAATGGATTCCCTATGCTGCTTTCCAACCAAACACGTTGTGCATAACTTTGCAGGTGTTTTAAGTGAAGGCAGACCACTGACCATCTTTTTGTATTGAAGGGTTCTCAACCTTTTGAAGCTCAAGTGTCTGAATCTGCAGTGCCACAAATAACCCTCATCTTCTGTCACGGCTTGAAAACAGGTAGTAGCTTTAGGCATCATTGCTGCAAGCACAACAAACATCTTGTTCGCGCTCATCTCGGACTGAATGAAAAACTTTGCATGAAAAACTTTGCACTTCCCCTGTTGAATCAGAATTGCCATTCCTTTTTCTTGAAGCTGCCCCATACTTAACAGGTTATTTTTCAACTCAGGAATGTAATAAACCTCAGAAATTACCTAAGTGAATCCATTCACTTGCATTCGAATGTTTCCTTTCCCCATAACTACCATCCTTGAGTTGTTGCCTAGTTTCACAGTTTGCCTGAATTGAACATCCAAATCCGAAAACCATTCTTTATTCCCACTCATATGATTACTACATCCTAAATCGAGGAACCAAACCACTTCTCTCTGAGCATGGTTAAGCTCTACATAGGACATTAATAGCAGCTATTCTCCTTCGTCTAGTTCAGCATAGTTGGTTCTATTCTCCCAACTAGGACACTCATACTAGAAATGTCCTAATTTGTGACACTTAAAGCACTCGATAGTAGCCTTGTTGAATGGTTGTCTGCCACAACCTCTTCTTCTTCCTCTGAACACCCCTCGACCTCTTCCTCTGCTAGTGTTGTCTTCATGAGTCACCTTGAGAACCTGTTCCTTTCCACGATGGCCATTCATTCTTTGTTCATGGACTAGCAAACTGCTCTGCAGCTCGTCAATGGTCATTGTGTTCAAATCATTGGATTCTTCAATGGAGCAAACCACATAATCAAATTATGAGGTCATGGACCTCAAAACTTTCTCATTGATAATGGTTTGGCTCATTGTCTCACCATGAGCCTTCATTTTGTTGGCTATAGTGAAAGTACGAGCAAAGAAATTATCGATAGTCTCACCCTCCTTCATTTGGAGAGTGTCAAAATCCCTCCGAAGTGCCTGCAACTGTGCCCTCTTCACCTTGGTAGAGCCTTGGTATTTCTGTTTCATTGAGTCCCAAATACCCTTTGATGTGTCTCTGTCAAGTATAGTCTCCAAGATATTCCGGTCTATAGCTTGAAAAAGGTAGTTCTTTACCTTTAAGTCCTTCTGCTTCTGCCCCTCGATCACTTTGCGTTGTGCTTCTGCCTAGTCCTCGACCCCTTGTGTCACCACCCCCGAAATCCTATTCTCTATGAGATCCCAATATTCCTTGGAACGAAGAAAGTTCTCCATCAACATCGCCCAATGATCGTAATGTCCGTCAAATTTGGGAATGGCTGGTTGCACAAAACCACTACTATTGCTTTCCGCCATTGTGCTTGACTCCCTTACTCTAAAAGAAAACTACAGTTTCTTTCCACACACACTCACAATCAAGCCCTGTGATAGAGCTCCAATACCAAATGCTAAGAACACTTAGAAGAAATTTAGCACACACATGAAAAGTAGTTTTATTGATAACAAAAGATGAACATTTGGAGGTCATCGAATGGCTCGAGAAGAAGCATCACTGTTCAAGCGTGTTTGTGTCCTTTGGGAGTGAGTATTTTTTGTCCAAGGAAGAGATGGAGGAAATAACAAATGGGTTAGAGCTCAGCAATGTTAACTTCATTTGGGTTGTTAGGTTTCCATTGGGAGATGAAACTATGGTTGAAGATGCACTGCCTAAAGGGTTCCGTGATAGAGTGGGAGACAGAGGAATTGTACTAAAGGGATGGGCCCCACAAGAGAAAATTCTAAGGCATTCAAGTATTGGTGGGTTTGTGAGTCATTGTGGATGGAATTCAGTAATGGAAAGCATGGAATTTGGTGTTCCAATCATAGCCATGCCCATGCAGCTTGATCAGCCTTTGAATGCTAGGTTGGTGGTTGAACTTGGTTTAGGGATGGAGGTCTGGAGGGACTATAGCGGGAAGCTTCATAGAGTAGAGATAGCTAAAGTAATAAGGGAGGTGATAGTTGACAAAAGAGGAGAAGATATGAGGAGAAAAGCAAAAGAATTGAGAGAGAAGATAAGATTGAAAGGAGAGGAAGAGATGGATGGAGCTATGGAGGCGATATCACAACTTTGTCAGAAGAGTAAGGCGCAGTAATGTTCACACCATCATATCTCCACTATTGGTTTAGTGGTACAACTTCTATGCCCCAGACTCCCAAACACTGTCCTCTAGGGCTAAGTCGTGTTGATTTTGCTTTCGTTCTCTTACATGTTTTTGTATAGTGGGAACATGATGCCCCCACTTATTTAACTCACTAATTTCTTAGTGGAGAATAAAGCTCCTTTAATTGATTAATTCATACTCTCACTCATGTTGTTATTATATAAACGTTTACAGAAATTATAGTTAATTTTAAATAATATATGCTAGTCCCCACAACTAATTCTTAGTTACAATTAGTGAAAGATTGCACATTTTTCAAAATGAAAAAAATAAAAATACATAAATTGTATAATTTGAACATGCTATCTTATATATATACCCATAATCAAGGCCGAGTCAGATCTTTTTACAACGGTGACAAATCTAATTTAAAATCATAATATTAAGAATATCAAGTTTGACAAAATAATAAGTAATAATATATTTAAAAATATAACTTTATTGAAAGAATGCATATTGGAGGTGCAACTCCAAGACGAACAGTGTGCGAAAAGAACCTACAAGAAAAAGTCACTACGGATCTATCAATAAATGTCAAGTAAAGATTCAAGGTCTTTTGAAAAAATATATTTGGCATAATCGAACTGCTTTGCATCCTCCCATCCTCAATTTCCAAAGAGATCTGTAGGTACTATTCCAAAGAGACTTACTTATACACGATACACATAGACCACTGTCAATCAAGCCTATGGGCTTTGTATGCTCCACCTTGTGCTTTTGACAAACTTTACATTCTTTTATAAACTGCCCGACTTAGGAATTTAACTCCATATATTTAAAATTTTTTACCACAATATACATTTTAGACATTCATATTTTAATTATAATAAATATGTCAAATATAATAAATATTTTAATCAAATTCAACCAGTTGTTCATCTTGGAAATTGATTAAATTCGTCATTAATGAATTGACACAAAATCTTCATCACTGGATTGATGCTCTTCTAATGACAAATTTTTTGTACAAATTAATATAAAATAAAGTCATATTATAGCAGTTAATTTAATTGACTTTAAGTAAAAAATGTGGTGTTGACTCTTTTCGGTTTGCTTTTCACGTGTAGTGTTCTCTGATTCTAGATGAATTTGGTGAAAATGATGAACTTGATGAAGATGAAAGCCTGATTGGTGTATCTTCTTGATCTTCAATTGGTGGTGGTTTTGGTGGATTTTATGAATACGAGAGTTATATCAACGTATCTCCCGTTCTTCAATTTGATGATATTTTTAATGAATCTCCTCACCGTTCTTCGTATTGAGTGGCTTGAAGATGATTTTAAGTAATTTGAAGATGATTTGAATTTTTCGAAGAAAGACCTTAGTGGTGTGTTCTTCTTCTCGAAGAGGAACTTGCAATGCTTCAGTTGAAAGTGGACTTTGGATAGAGCTTCGTCAATATTTCTTCCTCCTTTCTCATATGTTTTTTTTTTGCCCTCCCTTAGACCTCTATTCATAGTGCTAAAAGTAGTTATTAATACAAAAGTGATAGTTATTCATATAAGAGTATTTTTACCTGATTACTCTTATATGACATTTAGGTAATGGACTACCCATAAATTTGTAGACTTTAGTTTATGAAATTTAAATCCAATCTATTTTATCTTTAAAATTTTAGAAAATTTGGAAGCCGGTCCTCCTATATGGACTTGTTTGGCCTTAAGTCCGTCAAAGAAACTTATTTGTTATGAAGTCCACTTTTTGTCAATTTTACCACACTATCCCTTCCCTTTAAAAGTGAAAATAAAACTAAAAATTAAAAACTTTTAAATCTTAGGAGTTTGACTAATATTAAAATATTTTCTCTCATAGCTTCAATGGGAATTATCTGATTCATTTGAAAATTCTTATTGTTTTGAATTCTAGAAATCATTTTTAAGTGTGTACTTAGCTAAGGCACCTAACCTTTGTTTATCCAAGAGTCTGTAAGCCTCTCGATATCTCTTTGTAAGTCCCTAAGGGTAGGGCAGTTGTGAGATTTAGGTGAGAAAGTGAGGAATGAACAGGAGGTATGATCTTAGTGGTTTTACTACAGTTGTAGTTTTCACTTAAAAATAATTTTGAAAATTTAAAGCAATCTGTAATTTAAAAATGAATAGGTTATTCAGATCTAATTCCACAGCTAGTTCATCTAGATCTTCATCTAGTACTATACCTAATATAGTGAATGAAGAAAACTATGAATGTGAAAATAGAAATGTAGATTGGACAGGATGGAATATCCCTTCTGTACCACACAAAGAAATTTACAAAACTAGTTGGATCCCCAGAACTTTCAGTGAAAAATTAAAAGTACGAACTATTGAACAAGTTCATGCATTAAAAAATAGTGAAGAACAAGTTCAACTCTTAAGTAAAGAAGAATTGAAAATCCACAGAAATGAAGGATTTAATTTTATTCATTTAGGATTAGTCCAGGTAGCTATAAAGCCCCTGACTACTGATGGCATGAATTCTGCAGTTCTATTATCCCTAAGAGATGCACGATTTATTACCTATAAAAATGGCATTTTAGGAATAATGGAAGCTGGACTTCATGAAGGACCAGTATATTTTAATTGTTTCCCTGATTTTACATTAAGTCTACATTGCCAGCATACTCCTAAAGCCTTAACCTTAGGAATCAAACTCTCTGGACAAATCTTAGACTTAGTAAAAGAAACTGCTTCTTTAGCTTTAATCTATAGGGTCTATTACAAATGCATAACCACCAACATGAATGTACATGCATTAAAGAAAAGCCCTAAAGAAAGTACTCTTCTAATCCAACCTAGTACCAGTGAAGCTAATGTCCAAGTCCCCAAAAGACTCCAATGGAAAGACATTGAACTTCCAGAATCATGGCTCGTCACTAATGAAAACCATGATAAAGACAAAGAAACAACATCTACCAATCTTGAAACTGTCCAGCAGCTTTCTGATGGAATGGTTAGGATCTCCTTCGATTCAGCCAGATCCCATAGGTCCAGGTCCAGTAGATTTAATGAACCTATTAGGATTAATGAAGGAAGAAGATCAGATGTTGATTCCACTATATCCCAAAGAGATAAAGAAATTGCAAAAGAACTACAATTCAGGATTAACCAACTTGAAAAACAATATAAAATGAAAGGAGTAGATAATGAGTCATCTCCACACCTTAGCAGACCTCATTATACTCACAAACCTCCTTTAGTTAATACATATTCTAGGTTTAAGGAAGAAGAAGAAAAGGATAGGGAAGATGATTTTACTCCATCACCCACTGCTTCTGATCTAGAAAGTCTTAAGCCTAACCCAGATTTAAGTCATCAACTCTATGTCATAAATACAAAACCTAGTACTTTATTTCTACCAGACATAGCTAAATTAAAAAGAAGGGGTTAAGAATAAACTTAGAAATAAAGAATTCTTTAAAAAATATAATGAACAACAAAGAAAAGAAATTCAAGTTCAATGGATTAAAACAATGCACAAAATTGAATCTGAAATTGAATTTTTTGATTACCTTGACTCTTGTCACAAAGATGTAAAAGTAATAACAAAACATAAATGGAAAACTACGGATTCAGGAATTGTCTCTTCTAGTCATCCTCCAACCCAAACTTTTACATTTAATTCTGCTGACAAACAAATCGTGGCTTCACCATTTAAGATCCCTCCTCCTGAAAATACTAAGGCATCAACAGAACAAGTAGCTTTAGACAAATTTCAGAAGAGAGTAATTGAACAAAACAATTTTACTAATCAAAGCTTAATTGTTTTAGGCCAACAATTAGATAAGATTGAAAACAAAATTGAAAAAATACCTATTTTCCCAAAGAAATTAGAAAAACCTCTAGTAACCCTACCAGAAGATAGGACTAAATTAGGAATACCAGATCAACTTAGGATTGCAAAGATTGATCAGTTAATTAAAAAATTAGATGCACAAACCGAAACATCACAAACTTCTCAAGTAACTGTAATTAACAAAAATTCTGAAACTGAAACTGAGACTTCCATATCTTCATCTGAGGAAGATATTAAAAGCTTAGAAAAACAGTTCACTGACATAAGCATAAGTGCACCTATTTCTAAAATCAATAAGCTGGTTTTCCCTTCTAGTTCTACAAAAAATTGGTACTCCAAACCCACTCCTCCAGATATTCAATTTGAAGAGAAAAATATTTCTAACCAATTTTCAGTTCAATCAAACAAGCTCTATGAATGGAACATAGATGGATTAAGTGAGCAAGAAATTCTCAACAAAATTCATCACATGTCTATGGTCATTAATAGTTATGTAAATAACCTTAATGATCCTGAACCCCAAATTGTCGACTTAGTTACCTCAGGATTTACTGGAGTACTGAGGAGTTGGTGGGACAATTACCTTACTCCAGATTCTAGGGATGATATTAGAAATGCTGTTGTTCTTGATGATGATGGCATTCCAATTTTTGATGAGAGACTTGGCAGATCAAAACCAGATGGTTTAAACACTTTAATATTCACCATTGTCAAACATTTTGTTGGCACACCAAGTAATATTGAAGCTAGGATTCATGACCAGCTTAGTAACCTCAGGTGCCCAACACTTAGTGACTTTAGATGGTATAAAGATGTTTTTATCAATAGAGTTATGCTTCGCCCAGACTGTAATAAATCATTCTGGAAAGAAAAATTTGTTAATGGTTTACCTAATCTATTTGCCCATAAAATCAGAGAAGCCCTTAGCAAAGATACTGGGATCATAGAATATGATTCACTGACTTATGGCCAACTTGTTAGTACTATCCAAAAGGAAGGACTTAGGATGTGTATTGATCTTAAGATCAGTAAACAATTACAAAATGATAAAAAGAAAGCCAAATATGAAATGGGAAATTTTTGTGAACAATATGGTCTTCCTCCAGTAGCACCATCAACCTCTAAAAAACTTAAGCACAAATCCCATAAAAAATATAAGT